CTTTGACCAATTCCACAGATGTCCCGGAAGCTGAAATATCCGAGAAATTGGCAGCAAAACCAGAAGACAACCTGCTGGAAGCAGATTCCAAGCTTCAGAGCTCTGAAAATATTCCCTTACCAAATATCAAAGATGAAATTGCTGAAGTCATTACAAGTTTTGATGATGAAGCATTTCAGCTTGAAAATCAGGCAGCTACGAAAATCCAGGCTCAGTTCAAAGGCCACAAAGCGAGGAAAGAAGTCGAGGAGTTGAAAAGACGCTCCAATGTTCCGAAAGAAACTGCTGTTGATTCGGTTGCGGAAGTTGAACCCGCCGGGGATTCTCAAGACCCATCCACCACCAATGATGCAGATTATGTGCTGGAAAACCAAGCAGCCACAAAAATTCAGGCTCAGTTCAAAGGTCACAAAGTTCGCAAGGAAGTTGAGGAGATGCGGAAACTTTCCCAACTCGAGCAGCATCGAGTTGATCAGTCACCAGCAGCAGCAGCAGCAGCAGAGATTCAAAACACGGAAGATGAAGTCGAGAATGAAGCAGCTATCAAAATTCAAGCCCAGTTCAAAGGCTACAAAGCCAGGAAAGAAGTGGAAGAGCTGAGAAAAAAGTCCAGCTTGCATCATTCACCACCAGCACCTGTTGCTGATTCGGATCGTGTCATCGAAAATTCCGAAATCCTCGACGACTTTTCGGAAGCTGAGAACCAAGCAGCAACGAGAATTCAAGCCCAGTTCAAGGGGCACAAAGTTCGCAAAGAAATGCAAGAGGTGAAAGAAAAGGCTGCTGCCGATCTCCTTGAAATGGAGAACCATGCAGCTACGAAAATTCAAGCCCACTTCAAAGGTCACTTGGCCCGGAAGGAAATCAACGAAATCAAGGAAGGCATCGCTGCTGCCTTGGAGCCCGAAGAACCCGAAAAGCAGGGTTCTCTAGTCGAAAAAGATATCGGAAATCCGACCCCAGAAGAACCAGAACTCATCATTCAGGCTTCCTCAGAAAGTCCTTCGTCAATCGCAATTGTTGATGAAATCAACGCTTTTGACGAATTCACGGACGAGGAAAATTTGGCCGCCACGAAAATTCAAGCTCATTTCAAGGGTCATTTGGCACGGAAAAATTTGCTAGAACTTGAACTCGACAAAAACGTCATTATTGAATCACCATCGATAGAAAACGCGGCAGAATTTACTGATGAGGAGAATCAAGCAGCAACAAAAATTCAAGCTCATTTCAAGGGTCATTTGGCGAGGAAAAACTTACTTGGACCTGAACTTGACAAAGAAGTCGTGATTGAATCACCATCGATAGAAAACGCGGCAGAATTTACTGATGAGGAGAATCAAGCAGCAACAAAAATTCAAGCTCATTTCAAGGGTCATTTGGCGAGGAAAAATTTACTTGGACCTGAACTTGACAAAGAAGTCGTGATTGAATCGCCATCGACAGAAAATGTGGAATTTACTGCTGAGGAGAATCAGGCCGCAACGAAAATTCAAGCTCATTACAAGGGTCACTTGACCCGAAAAAATCTGTCCCCGAGTCCAAGCAGATCAGATCAAATAATTGACGCAGGAAATACCTTTTCGCATGTGATGTCAGAAGAAAAGTTTCCTCAGAATACAAAAGATATTGAAAACACTTCTGAATCGCTAATGTACGAAGCCACACTTGCTGAAGCCAGGAACCTTGACTCTGAAAATATTGAGCCAAAAACGGCCATTTTCCTTCTGGACGCTCAGGTTGAAAAAAAATTTTTTTTTTGAGACCGGAAAACGAGTACTTTTTTCACACGTTTTTTCCTCGTTTTATTTAGGATCACGCTAGTGATGTTGAAGTGTCGAAAAGTTTTATGATGACTACTGGACCTGCTGGACTTCAGAATGATCTGCTCGCTGGAAATGCCGGTGGAACAGATTGCAAAACTGACCTTGCTTCCAATTGCATGGATTCAGGAGTTGGTTTCGAAGGTCAAGAATTCGCAGCGTTGGGTGAGAAGCGTTCGATTAATGCTTCAGATACAGATTTTTTTTTTCAGTGTGTGCTTCAAAAATATGATCGGAAAGTTTTACTTACTTCGAATAAATTAGTGGTTATCCTATGATAAACATTCTCAACTTTTCCTTTGGCTGAACTGGTATTTGAAAATTAATGAAAAGAACTCAAACACATGATCCAGTTGGTTTTGATTTTGATAATCTTGTAAGTTCTGTTCTGAAATTGAGAATCGTTCTCGCTCGATTTTTACCTATGTATGTTCGAAAAATATGATGAATGGATTGAGGCAATGTAACAAATATATATGCTTCTTTTTGATGATACAGTAAATAAAAATCTACCCTTACATATGTACATCGGGGTATTACATAAAGTTATGTCGAATGTCATGGCATTTATAAATGTTATGAAGCCAAAAAAAATGGAACAAAGCTTATTCCTGTGAGATTTTCACAGGTCACATGCTCAGGTCGATCTTCAAGTTCGAGGTCCATATTTCTGTTTGAATGATGTCAAATTATTTGGGATACAGTTCGGTTCAATGTTTTACGAACTATTCGGAGCAATCTCTCAGATAAAAAAAACTGCGTTTCTGAAGCTGTATTTCCATGTCCGGAGATGAAGGATTTTTCCGGTTGGATCGAGTTTTGAAAGCTGAGAATAATATCTGACTGCCGTTTGAGTCATAAACCTTTGTTTATTTGACAGACGCCAAGAACTACCCGAAGGAATTTTATAAGCAATATATTTCGAGCCAATTTCAAGTTCATTCATTCATCCAAAATGAATCATGGATCTGTCTATTTTCTCGTAGTGTTACGGTAAAGTACAGTAATTCACGATTTTCTACTAATTTCCTGAAGCCATCTCTCACACACGAATTATTTTGACATGGTGATTCCTTGTCTTGTCTTGAATTGAATGATTTTTCCACTGGATCGAGTTTTGAAACCTGTGACAACCTGATGCTGGACACATTTTTGAGTTACTGTCAAAGCAATTTAAATCGAACTTGAAGAGCCCAGCACCAAATTCGAAGTAGAGAGGTAACAAGTTAGGGAAACAAGCATTTTTGTTAGGGTAAAGGAAGAAGAATTGCAGGAAATTGTGGTTGGTGATACTCTGGGACTTGAGTTGCTTCCTAAATGAGTTGACAGGATTCTTAAATTAAAGACAAGGGCTTATTTTTGCACAATTATTCTTCCACTTGGTATCAAAGCACTTCAAGATATATTGTTATTGCTTTCTCTTTTCCTGTGTCAAAAAATGCTGTAACTGCCAAAAGACTTCCAGAAAATTCAAGTTATGCAGTTTTGAGGGGGAAAGCTTAGTTAGGGAGGTTTTTAATGGATTTTTTCTCAGAGAATTAGGACTGAGACTTGAAAAAAAAAATTGACATAGAGAGGTATTTTTATTATGGAGGTTCAAGTTATCAAGGTCCATTTATATCAACCTTGGTTTAGTTGACAAGTTCTGAGAATCATCTGATCAATATCTGCTAATCAGTCATGAATTAATTATTACAGATTTTAAGCTCCATTAAAAATATTCCAGAGACATCCGAGTGCTGATGCAGTTACCCAGCCTCCAATGGAATTTAATTTAAAGTACTAAACTACATTTTGGCTGCAAAATGTTAAAAGAGGACTTCATCTTTGTCTCTGATCACAGGTTTCATAAAGAAAACAATCACACACACAATCACCAAATGCAATCTTGCATTGTGCAAAAAAAAACTTGCTTCCAAAATAAAAATAAAATCAGCGAAGAAAACATGCTTTGCGTCTGGCGCAATTCCCGAAGCACAAACTTCCAAAGCAAATAACTCAGCGAATTTTTGACATAAAAAATACTACAACATTTAAAATGTAAGCTAAAGATGTTTTCTAACTTTTCTTTCATTGTATACAAATTGATCCAACTAACCGATCTTGAGGTAATCCTACTTTTCTGGACCTAACTTTTCTTTGTTGATAAGAATCTGGAAAACCTTTATGCCAGATTCTTATCTCACTGATGCACAATCTTCTGGTGCAAACAGTGACTTCAAAAGCCTCGTTTCTAAACACATGGATGAATTCATTTCTGCGACAATTGATGGATCTTTTCATTTTCTTTACGCACATTTTCTGCGTATTTGAGCAGAAAATCTACCCGAGGCGGAGGAAGCAGCCACGAAAATCCAAGCCCGCTACCGTGGCTACAAGACCCGCAAAAATCTTCAACACGGCCAGCACAGCAGTCGTCACCAAACCCACAATAACAAGCACCGGCATAACCTGCATTGTGAGGACGACACTTCTTTGGACTTTGAGATTGAACAGGCAGCCGTCAAGATTCAGGCAGGCATGCGAGGTTATTTGACGCGCAAACGGCTCAAGGGCGGAAGGGTCAAAAGTGCTGGTGATGGCAAACGCAGGGTTTCCCTGGGTGCTCAAGACAGGGCTGCAGCCAAGATTCAAGCCGGTGTTCGTGGGTACATGACTCGAAAGCGGATCCGAAAAGAGCGGGAAGTTCATTCCGGCGGGCATCAGAAAAGAGCGGCTGCCGGAAGCCAAAATGATTCCGGTCCGATGAATTCGCTGAATGTCGATGAGGCTTCCAGCAACAGCAGGGATGCAGAAGGTCAGTTTGTTCTGGAAAGTTTTGCAATCGTTGGTGCTTTTTGTTGTTGTTGTTGGACTTCCTGATTCGCTTTTACCGACGGAAATTTATGCAAATTTTTTTTTAGGTTTTTCAAGATTTAGAGAAATGAATCGGCATGAGGTGTGGGACATGATGAGTAAATCCATTCCTAAATATTTACACCATTTCAACGCTTCAAGCTGATATTTCTCGTTCATTTTATTTTTGTTGCCTTTCCTGAATAAAACGGCAAAAAATAAATGGAATTGGAATCTAAAAAATTGGCGGAGAGCGAATGCGTGTTTTCTATACATCGTCTTTTTACTACCGTATATTTTTCCGCGAAATAATTCGTCCCGTCCAACAGCTTGTGCATTTTATCCGAGATAAAGTTTGAATAGACTCAGAAATGCCACTCGAAAATGCTAATTACACGGTGTGGGGAAACCTATTTTCTGTCAAAGTTTTAATGAGATCTTTAAAAATGCTGCATTTTTCCAGTTCAGTCCAAGTTTATCATGGCCAGTTTTATATTTTAATATTTAATGAAGTTACGGTAAACTATAATGGCAATTAAGAAATGGATGACAATTTCAGTCTTCCTTCGTGAAGTTAATGATAGTACAGTATTACTTATTAGCGTCGTCTGCCTTATCATTAGCCCAAGAACTGTATAAATGATGCTCGTTGAGATCGTTATTGTACGTAGTCGATTTTAAGCCTTCAAATCAAAGAAAAACACTACGCTTACATTTTTTGGATTAGATTTAGTTGGGCCTCGTTTGAATTTTATTGACTTACTGTCATACTTTTTTTTCATGATTTGCTTCGCACTCTCACTCACAGAAGAACCCAAAAACGCATATGTTAAACGGCCCAGATGTGAAAAACTACTTGAGCAGGTGTCCGATAAAGTCCATTTGCTGTAGAGATGGTCCCAATGTCGCAGAAAAATCAAATGATTACGGGAAATATCTTCAAGTGTGTGAATTTTTTCGCTTCTCGAAGCTTTTTTAAATTTTTTGACTAAAATATGCTTTTGCGAATGTATGTCCCTTAATATGAAAACGGGGTGGAATTCTACAAGAATTTAGAAAATTCCTCACCCTTGCCGCGGTTGCTCCAAATATCTTTGCAATATTCACAGTCTCATATCGCGAGGTTTCCTTCAAGTAATTCTCTGTTTGCCTTCTTTCAATAACGTGACCACACTTGAAAAAACAAAATTCAAATTTAAAATGACGACTTTTAATGCATTACAACCGATGGCAAGGTCACTGAATGCGTTACAGAAATCTAAATTATCAGTTGAACATTTTTAAATACTGCCATTATGTGGATGCGAAAACCTAAACATAGTCGAGGAGAAAGAATTACTGATGAAATTAGTTGCAAGTAATTGGAATCGGATGCATTTCGTCTTTAATGATTAACTTTTGCCACGCATGGACTCTTTATGTATTTCTTCGTATGCTTGAGTTTGAGAGTAAGAAACTCCCATGAATCAATTTTTTTGGCGAATTATTGAAGCTTTGACACAGCTCTAACGAATGATTATTTTTCGATCCGTTTTTAGAGGTGAATTAAAAAACAGCAAGAAGCCTGGAATAAGATACTGTTGAAAAAAAGGTTTTCTAAATTAAAGCAGAACGCACCAATCAGGTAATACAGGACTGGAAATATGAATTTATTTAGCCAAAACTCATAAAAGTCTGGTGAATAATTCAAGTCCTAACGAGCAGATCGACTCAGCGATTTTGATTGCAGCACAAGAAACCACACTTCAACGCAAAGCCAACAGCAACAGAAGATGAGTTGAGACAATTAACGAATGCGATAATTGTTTGTGGGACTCAATTAAAGTAGACTGAAGATACGATATTGACATTGTTTTTATTTTGTTTTTTAAATCAGAAAATCGTCTCAGGTTGGACTTTGCTTATTAGCCCAAATGGAGGTGACATCGAATGTGAGGATAATGTCTCATCGTTTTTCAGGTTTCTTGAATTGAGAAGTGATAAATTTGGAAGTGTGATGTTGACTTTTGAAGCCCAATACCGATTCTCAATAATCCCGCTGTTTATGAATATTTTGATTGTTGAACAAGATGTTCAACCATAATCGAAAAAAACGTGTTATTTCAGCACCTTCTCTTCTTATGTCCAGCCTTTCATACTGATAGAAACAAGCTTAAGAAAGATTTACGTATTGGAATTCAATGAAGAGACCCTTTCTGAAATCTTAAAGGATCAAGATAAACTGTTGGCATTACATGATTTCTCATGAAATATTCTCTCTAATTTGTTCATTTAACTAAACCTCATACAGAAACAAGCTGAAGACCTTGTGCTTTAAATTAATTTTTACATATATTCTGTTTCCAATGTCAGGGAATGAATTGGTGTATGCATACATGTCAGAAGTCCAGTTGTATTTCATGGATTGTATTTTATTTTTGTTATCAATTTGTGCTCTGTTTCCTGCTCTGCAGTGATTAAATGTCATTGAGTAGATTTGGGTTGGGTGGGAAGGGGGTTTGGTTGTGGAAATCTTGATTTACAATATTTTGTTTCCAATGTCAGGGAATGAATGGGTGTATGCATACATGTCAGAAGTCCAGTTGTATTTCATGGATTGTATTTTATTTATTTTTATCAATTTGTGCTCTGTTTCCTGCTCTAAAGTGATTAAATGTCATTGAGTAGATTTGGGTTGGGTGGGAAAGGGGGTTTGGTTGTGGAAATCTTGATTGAACCTTGTGAACGCTGAAAAATGGCAAATAAAGTGTTCTATTCATTCATTTCAGTTCCTAATTATTTTTCATTCTTTTCTCTTTTTCAAATTTAGAATTAGCAGCAGCGAAAATTCAAGCCGGTGTGCGAGGACATCTCACTCGCAAACGCTTGAAGCAACAGCGCCAGCATCAACGAAAGAGTCACGGCGCCGTCAGCAGTGTCGATTGCATCGACGGGACTACTGACGATGATTTTGAAAGCCGTCACGCGGCCACAAAAATCCAGGCTCAGATTCGAGGATATCTGACGCGAAAGCAGCTCAAAGCCCTAGCAACCGAGGCTGAATCCGATCAACTCGCAAAAGATCCTTCCAACAATAATGAAAAGGATTTATTGATCGCCGATGATGGCGACTTTCATTCCGGAAATTCATCTGCTGGTGAGCATCACGTGACTCAATCGTGTTGATTTTTCGCTTCCATTTTGTACAAATCACAAAAAAAACGAGGTGAAAAAGAAATTATTCGACAAACGCTGTACTTTGACTCTGACCTGACGAACTGTTTCAAACTATTTGGTGCTTGCGGACTTTTTTATACGGAAATCTTCTTAATCTGTACGAGCTGAGTGACGGGTGAATGACAGAAATACTGCATAAAGGGAGAATGCAGATATTTTAAAAATCTTGAATATCTAAAAAATGACCTGAGATCCACGGTAGTCTAAAAAATTAATAACTAACTCGTAGAAACTTTATCTGCTGAACAAAATGCATATTGTTGTACATGCACGATTTTCCTGCGGAAAAAAAGCTTTCAGAAAGCCCTAGAAACGATTTTTGAAAATCAGGCTGTGATAATTATCGGCTCACAATGCATGGCAAGAGAAGAAATGCTACATCCGAATAACGTAGCTTTCAAGAAGTGCTACATCCGAATAACGTAGCTTTCAAGAAGTGATTTTCTGACATATTCTTCGCTTTTCACATTATCAATTGCATATTAATTTTTTTTGTCCATTTCGGCCAATAGTTGTGAGTTGAATTCAACCAACAACAAAAGCTGTGTGACTTTTTCTTTGTGTACGTGCTTGAATTTTAAGATTTAATTTGTCGAGATGATTAAACATTCAAGTCAAATTATCATTAATTCTTGTTCTGATGAGCATTTTTTTCGGATTATGCAAAATTAAAAAAAAAGCTGGTGATGGCAGGATTGCATTTTTGTGGTATTCATTCATTGGAAACACAAAATGTATGATACGCGTTGGACAAAAAAGTAGACGATTTTCAACTATCGGAATTACTGCACTGTTTGAGCTATTACAGTACTTTGAGAAAAGAACGACTGTATCGTATTACAGTACTTTGAGAAAAAAGAAAAGAACAACCCGTTAAATTCAAGTAAATTCGAATATGTTCGAAAAATATTAAATTTTATGATTATAGCTGCATGCGCATGATCAACAAGAAATGGAATGTATTACAAATTGCGATTCATCGGTTCTTATGAGATCATAGGCTCGTAAGAGTTTATCTAAGGGTTGTCCGAGTTTCGCGCGCCTTTGCATAAATTATTCAAATTATTAATCCAGGCATCGTAACTTACATCGTTCCGAATGGTTCAAAATTTTCGAAGTACAGTATTCCGAAAAATCTCTGTACGAGTTATTTGCAGGGATGTTCAAAAATATGAAAAAAGCGATTCAGGTGGTGGCAGAAACCAGCTTTCTTTGCTCTTTTCCAAAAGCTCGAGGGATAGAAAAATTTTTGTATTGAAAAGTTTTGTTGCTTGCACTAATTTCAAAACTTCCAAATAATCCTCTGAATACAAAACTCAAACGAGGGCTACGAAATTCTGAAATGTTTGTCTCAGACCAAGGCTGCATATTTTCGGGAAAATAAATAGCCATAATAACGGGAATAATTTTTGTCGTCACTATACTTTTAGAACGTGTGGTTGAAAAATTGTATGAAGTTATCATGCAGCAAGTTCTGAATTATGAAGTGATCAAAGTTATATACTGTTTTTCCTGGCTGGCTATCTGGGAATTATGTGAAAGCCTTGCTGAACTAGGACAAATCCTCCGATTTGAAACAACAAACAATACTTCAATTGACCTCATCTTCTCAACGGTGCTGGTCATGAGCCAGGCAAATACAACAACGACTTTAGAATGCAGGCACGTCTAAAGAAACTTTTATGATCCATTTTTTTCGAAAGTAATATCTCAGACCGTTCAGGATAATGACGATTCACAAAATTGTCTACTACTCTACTTTCTTGTCCAAGATGTACTGTATATAAAGAGTTTCGACACGGTGAAGGTGACTTTCAGCATGCCTAAAACAAATCTGAAATTCAACACCTGTACAGTGTTGCTTTAATTTCTATACTGTACTAACTAACCCCTCTGAGTGACGCATCGTCAGTGATGCTGTCCTGATGATAAGGGTTGTGCCTCGGTTAATGGACTTGGTACGCTTTAGAATAGATGGAAATTTATCATCTGACGAGCTCATCAACTGAATAATGTAATGCTAAATAATAAAACGGAAAATTCATTAAAAATATATTCAACTAAGCTTGATCAGGCATTCAAAGCGGTTTTGAATGAATAATCTCGTCTGAAAAGTGCTTGTAACAAGTAGAATCTCGTTACAACGAGGCGTTTTGGACCTGAAAAAGGCTTTATTTTAAAAGAAAATTCGTTTAAAGCAAATAAAAAATAATGATATCGCGGCCATGGCCCAGGGCCGGAAGAAAAATTCGTGGAAAGCATAAATTCTTTATAATGAGATCCGTTGTGACGGGATACTATTTCCTTGTTTAGGAAAACAATACTAACGAACGAAAGAACGCATAGCAATGAATGAAAGTGCTCATAACACAGTACAGAGTAATACCGAAAAGGCTTGTATACTCCTTTGAAAAATAGTTATGCCGGCGACATTTTCAATTCAGTCCGTTGTCACAAGGGTCCAATTTTTGAACGCAAATATTCGTAGTACAGTCGTATAAAAATCTTTAATCTGACGCATACAGAAGTATAGTCGGGGTAAAATATGTAAATCATTAAAAACCACTGAAGCGACTCTTAACTGAATTATGATCTGCTAAATGAAACGACAAATCTGTTTGAGGCCAATGGGAACGTTTCTTCATGAAATTCTCTGTGGTAGATACAATATTTGGTCTTTGGCGAATTTGAAAAAAATAGTGAAACAAATACAAACAAAAAATATCCAAAATAAAAATGTTGCAAATTGTTTTATCAACTTGACAAAAAGATGCTGGCTGTGAACTTTTTTCAAAGAGTCTTCGATTTTCAGAAGTACTACTGTATATCCTTTTCCCGAAGGCGAATTTAAGCCCATATTGTAAAATCTTGTTGCAACAAACTTTCGGGGACTTCAAAAAAAAATTTGTTGCACTGATAATGCTTTCTTATAACTTGCTTTTAAAAATTAATTACTGAAAGAAAAGTTCCGCATCTGATCTGCCTATGCTGGTCATTCTCAGATTTGTAAATTGTTTTTTGAAATACTGAGTGATTTACTGAAAAAATTTAGATTCAATCATGCATTCCATAAGTTGCACCAATAAATATCTTCATTCTGGGAGGATGATGTTAAAATTTTAAATTCTGAGACAGTGAGGTGTGGAATCACAGTTATGGAAGCTTGTTTGTCATGGATTAAAGCTTCCATCCCATGGTACAAGAATCAGTCAGTCATCTTTGAGGTCAGAAAATTTCTACTCGGATGAGAATCTATCGAACATTCCTCGAAAATTTTTGTTATACTGAACAATTTGTTGTGATAGCATTTGCTGTACAATACCGAGATTTTACTCCATTAGTGGTCGATGGAAATAGAAAGCCGATGCGCGAGGCGTCCATTATCCGGGGTACTCCAGTATACCTAGCTTTTTTCTGTCTTTCTTTTGCTCGTGGCCTTTCCTCTCTGCTTCTTCCCGTGCTTGTACAAAATAAACTCGTAGCCTCTGCTGCTTGCCGGATGCATGCGAAACAACCGCCTTCCGCTTCCCCACTGTCGTCGTCGACATCGTCATCCTTTTGTACGGATGACGCTGACGACTCGGAAGCCGTCGACGTTGACGTGGACTTTTACGTGAGCTTCCGCGTCACCATGACGGCCGCCGTCACGAAACGCCGCCCTACTCCTGCTTTCCACCGCCCGACAGGCACCGTGGGAACCGACGCCGACGCCGACACCGCCGCCACCAAGATCCAGAGCCGCTATCGGGGCTACCAAACGCGGAAACGCGTGTCTGAGCAGCAACGCCAGCATCGACAGGCCGCCACGAAAATCCAGGCCCATTACAGGGGCTACAGAACCCGGAAGAACATGCTCAATAAGGATCAGGCGTCGGAGCCGGTGTCATCGAACGTCGACGACGTCGAGCGGACTCCGGATCCCGTCGAGATCAACACGGATGATGGGAGGTTAATAGGCTTTATGATACCTTACGTGGTTGTGGTCTTGTTGATGCATGCGTTTGTGATTGTGAGAGTGAGTTGCAGTCCGAGCAGGTGCGGGTGACGGCATAGGTGCGTACATGTGTTCGCAGATGTCGCTGCTGTGTTCACCTCCTTCATTTTTTTTTAAATCCCCATTTTTTCCCCGAGGTAGTTTTGGGGTTAATTGTAACGGTGATGAGCAATGCGGGTAAAAATGCATTCGGTGCTGTGAAAGAAAACCATGATAATTCTTCATCTGATTCTTTGTTGTGTATCCGTGTGTGTGTGTGTGTGTGGGTTGATGAATTAATAGCGAGTGAAATTTACAGGTTATCCCATAAAAATTACTGTGCAAGGAGTGGTTTTTCCTAAAAAAAAATCGCGCGCAAAATCGAAATGGGCGATACCTTTTCATCGCGAGTAGATGTCGCATGAAGTTACGTTTTATTTTAATTTAGCATTGAGTCACCATCTTTTCTGGTCTATGAACATGAATTATCGAAGTCTCGATGCATCGCCCTCATCGCAAACCAAAATATAAAACTTTCCACATTTTCAGGATTTTTTGAATAACACATTTGTGATGAGACGTGGTACTCGTATAATCGTCCCCGCTTTTCAAGGAAAATCTCTTCTCAATTGCATGACTTATTTAGGGATAAATATATTACATCCACGGGATTATTTAAAAAGGTTCAAAAGTTTTTTTACGACTATACTTTTTCCCTCGGGGAGCACTTTCTCACAATTTTTACAAGGATATTCGAAATTTCTTTCACGGAATAGTTCAATTCTTCGAAGTTTGAAATCCAATCTTCTTTTCATATTTTACTATACATAGTATATCCAGTGTGAAAATTGTGAAAATCGAAACCTAATCCGCCCCAAGACTAAAAAAAATTTCAGTTTTACAAATACTGTAGTTATAAAGTTACAATCATTTTCGCGGGGCTACTCAAATGTGTCTCTTTTCACGTAACGTATTTAGGAGTTTTCAAACAATTTATCGAGAACACAGGTTTGAACCGAAAATGTTTCGAGAGAAACCTCGTGCATGAAGAGTGATGCAACCGCATAAGAATAGAGAAAATTATCGGGAATATTCTTGAAATTATGCTAAGCTCGGCTCATCGCCCTTGAATAAACATTGTGTAATATTTTAGCGAGTATAAATAACATTTGCATGAGTTCTTAGAAAACCACAACGAGGCTAAGGCAAATCTCTGCGAAAATAGTAAATATTTAAATGATTATAAACGCGAATTAAATTATATATGTTTCCTGATCGCAAGTTCAACAGCTTGTGATGATTCGGCAAAAAAAAAATCATCAAGTGTCATTCATGTCCTGCGTGAAGACTCTGTCATGAAAGGATTTATTTGAAGGCAAAGAAAAGCATACATTTCACAATGTACAATACATGCACTGCGTAACATTTTTTGAATGTTGAACATACATGACTGAAAAATGGCCTATAATTTGAATAGTATTTATTCATATTATATTGCTCTACAATCAGGTTGACCGGAGCAACGATGCCACGGGAAGATTCAGGACAGCAATTTGATCAGGCAATCAATGAAAGAACCTCGTCACCAGTGGCATCAGATGCCAATACTGGGGTCGTCGACGTCGACACCGACCAAGGCAATGACGAAGAAGCCGCTGCTGCTGCAATAAAAATCCAGTCCCATTACCGGGGGTTTAAAACACGCAAAGAATTATCCAACAATTCAGCAACTCCAATAATAGAAGCCCCCGAAACATCGGCTGATGGAAATTCTGCATGAGTTATTTTTAGCTAATAATAATATTGGCTTCCGAAAATGTTTGTGCGTCGTATGATGTGAGTGCAGTTGTTTTTTTTTTTTGCGAGGGAAAATTCTTTTTCNAGCTTTCCAATGTTCCACCGCTTCCGTGTAGTCACGCGATCAGCAAATTTTGGCAAGAGTTATTCGTCGATTACGGGATGATTTTTGCATGAAATCCGGAAGAGGCTTCCGAGTGTTTGGATCGATGCTTTCTGAACATTAAATGATTGTCAGTGACGTGATGTAAAAGGGGTCTTATATTTTTATCCTCTGTTTGCGCGGATGAAACGGAATCGCGATTTTGTTTTCTATTTGTTAGGGAATGATTCGGATTGCAAAATCTTCAAAGTGCTTCAGTCTGACTTCCTCAAATTCGCGAAATTACGATGAATACGAGGCACAAAGTTCCTTTGAACGTGATTTAATAAAGATGGAAAGAAAACCGCTTTGATCGAATCGTTTACGAATTGAAATCTATGTTTTTTCGTTACAGTTCTTGGAATGACTGCTTGTTTAAAATTGTATCTTCAAGGATTGAAATTTTCTCACTTTAATCAATTCATGCACATCATGTCGGCGTTTGATAAAGAGCCTAGAAAAGTACAGAATTCAAAGTGAAGAATTCTCATTTTTTAAGAGATCGATCTTTCTGCAGTTTACCGTTTTCTGTATAGGATTTAAGCTTTTTGCATTATTTCCAAAGCATCCACCGAATTTCATTGTAGGTGTCCGGGAAGTTGTTTTTATCGTAGGATTATTTTTCTGAACCAAAAATATTAAACAAATATAATGCAAGAGCCAGAGACAAAGTTTTACGACATGATTGGAAATCTGAACGGGAAATCGTGCGGATTGTTTCACACATTTAATTTGTTGGAAAATTCCATCCGAAAAGTCAACCACGATCATCATTTTCAGAATCAACTCCGGAATTCTCCATAAAAAGTTAAACTTACCATAAATGCAACGAACGGAAGCCCGAAATTGTCGAGTCAGTTTGATTTCTGACTCTAAAAAGTTTTATCGTACAGTAGAATACAATTTTAAAATGCAGGGATCAAATTCACGGGCCTCCTTTTTTTCATTTCAGATGGTCGTTCACAAATACATCTTCTAAAGAACCAATATGCAATTGCAGAATTAATGAAAGATTCTAATTTTTGCAGTATTCCGTCCTTTGCAAATTAATCCCTCAGTTGTCATTGTAACTGAACATTTTTTTGCGTTGATGAGGACATTGAGGAGAAACGTTTGACTCCATATATTTATTTTTTTCTAGTGATATCCAAAAATCAACCCGTGGCAATTGATTAAACCTTGGCATACAAGTCTGTTATAGAATTGCAGGATGATTGAAAATTGATTTTCTGCTTGGCAGGAATGACGAGCAGCAGTGAGTTATTGGAAACTATAACGGTATATGAGCACTTCTATAATCTTTTTTTCTCGATTATTCTGATTTGTTTGAAGCTGTGGGTCATTACTGACATTGCGTAGATTAAATAAAACTGTGGAAGTCATTAGACGATCTCGAATTAATAAATGAGCTCGCTATACAGGGAACGTCTGTTCCTCATCGTGCATCATCAAAGCGCAGGTTTAATTTCCCACACATTTTTGAGAAGATCAAAAGAATGTCTCTGAAGCTTGAATTCACGAACAGGGTAGTGGAAAATGCCTGTTTTCCGGATCAGGCGTGGTTCTTTTTCACATACGCCGAATAATTTAAAATTAAACATTTTGACCTTCGACTTTTCAGGTCAGTGACCTCATCGTGGGTGTTGATTCGATAAACAAGAGGAATATTTTGAAGAATACAGTGATCATGAAGGAGATTTTCGTACTGTATTACGGTAGCATCCAGAGTGAGGCAGGCCTAATCGCTTCAACAGCCCGCATAATTTGATGTAAAAACATTTTGCACACGAAACGGGTAAAATTGACCTTCGAAAAAGCTTTTGCTGTAGTTTTTTATTATAAATTCTAAAGAATGTCTCAAATGCTCACGAATACCCCACCGCTAAAAATAGAATGAAATATTTTTCAGATGCGTTTTCCTCTCCTTTTTGATAAATGCCCAATATTAAATATACAACAAAAAACAGATTATTACTAAATAGTGAAGTGGTTTGCAGATTATGACCAGAATGAAGGATCTGATTATCTCTGCTGGTCATTACCTATCTTTTGTTACTTTCATGAATTCCGTAGACCTGTTCCACGAGAACAAAAATTGAATTAATGTATGGGGAATCTAAATACATTATATTGAGCTGGTGAGACGATAATTTCTGTGCGAGTTGGCAATAAATATTCGCACGTCGACTCGAAATGCTTAGTTAGGATTTTTCCATGTATTTGTTCGAGGGTAAATCAAATGCGCTTGGACCGTAAATGCAATTTTGACGGGTAAAGAAATTTAAGCGGATAAATAGTCCTCTTTGACCCCGGCTTTGAAGACCTCGTTATAACAGAGGTTCTCTAAATAATGAGGTCATGATGCTAATAATATAATTCCAATGTAGACCATGTAGCTTCGCATGTCCTCTTTTTATCCAAAATGTATTCAAGTTTATATTACCTTCCTCCATTTAACATGAACCTCTTTGATGTCAGGCAGAGAGGTTTACAACATTCGTTAAAAAGGAACTTTCAGATCTTTAATTACATGCTATTCAAATCGTTGCAAACTAAGCAACTAATTTCTTCTACTGTGACATGGATGGCAGATGTTTTCTGGTGCATGGAAAAGTCAGACAATTGATTTTTTCACGTTCTCAATCCTAACCTCAGTCATTATAAGTCATCTGGCTTTTACGTCCACATAAAAATGTTGCAATCGTTGAAAATAAAGCGACTTCAGAAGAGGAAATAAGGTGAGACCTTGGGAATTCTGACCGCTTCCGGAAATTATCTGGTTTGGCCTATAAACAACTTCGACAGAATACGCAACAATAATGGGTAGGCTGTTGAATGGTGGGATTCTATCGAAGAAAATAAAATTTAATTTTTAAACTTTTTTCAAGTTCATTCGATTCTCCTTTAAAAAATGCGATCGAGGTTTGGAATCTTGGTTTGATGCTTCGAATCATGGTTTTTCTATTCGACGTGGAACATAAGAGAATATACAATTGAATGAGCTTTCGGCTTGAAAAAATTTAGTGAGTGCAACCGGTTGAAACTCGCCTCGGTTTTTTATTTTATTTACCATTCACGGTTTTACACAATTGTTCTTTTTCCTTTTTCCGATTCTGGGCCAACCAGCTTGAAAGCCGGAAATCATTACGTAATGTACCATTTGTTTTCCCACAGTTCGCAAGAATCCACGCAATGTTCTCGGGGTAACATTGAAATGCAGTTGCTGTGTGTT